TTTAATCCCTCTAACTCGGTACAAAACAAATCACCAGTACTACATTTTACAGAAAGTTGAAATTTCTGTGACATCATAAAATAAATGGGAAAGAGATCTTGTAATGCACGTTACCATTGAATAATCTAGTACTCTTTTAACATTTAATTCTTTAAAAAAAACAAACCAAACCCCTGTTTATCGGTATTCTGAGTGTTTTTACTCTTTTCAGAGCAGGAAGAGAAAGCTGCCTGCTTAATGGCCCTTCTTATATTTTATACTTTGAACATATAATAATAAGAGTTTTACAAAGTGCAGTATACACAAATATTTGATTGAAAACAAATTGTTTACCCCAGTGTTCCAGAAATTGAAATCCCAATGCCTTGGCATTTTCCACTGGTCATTCAGACTGCATATAAATATTTTCCAGAAAAGGCCATAACTTATAAAAAGGAAGAATTAGAATGCTCCTGAAGTGCTAAAGTGTCATGGCTTGCTGGGACAGAGCAGACGTACACTCATGTCTGTTGGGCATAATATCGGATGAGATGATTACTTTTGTAGTCTGAAAAAAGGTAGTTTCTTGTACCTTGTCAGGACCTGACAATAATCTCGTAATCAATTTTGATTAGGCAAAATGTTAAATCATTTGAATCAATGATTTAACAGAACACTAAGGGGTCAAAATCTGTTCCTGGATTAAGCTGGCAAAAAATGGGCATTCCTGGTATATATCTGAGGGCAAAATTTAGCCCATGGGTTGAAATTCAAGCTTCCTGCATCAAGTCTGACTACACTGGTGTTGTGCAGGGAACTAAATAGAGATCAGGAGAATGAAATTCACATCTGTGCTTCTGAGTGTATGTGCACATGAGAGATGAATGTCATGGAACTGGAATACAATCACAACTTCTCGTGCCCCCTACATGGGAGCTCAGTACCTCTCCTTTCTCCCCAGTGCAAGGATCATACATGGCTTAGGCAGCACAGAAGACCTTGTATGGGCCCTGGGGTAAATGTCACCATTAATAAGGAGAAATGTTTATTTCCTAATGTATTATCTTCATTAAATAGCAGTTCATTTAACAGTTGCACTTACCACTAGTAAGCTCATAAAAAGTTATGGCACTTAAATTGTTTGTTTATTTAAACAGTTTAATAATTTATAAATTATTCATTTAAGTAGTTTCAGTGTATTAACACATTAGGGTTACACTTTCTATCTGACCCATGGCAGGCTTATTTCTTATTATTTCTACAAACGGTTTTCAAAGCAACATCTTCAAGTGCCACTTTGCCAGCACTTTTGCACTAACATTTGCATATTACTTATGTTAATGACAAATTTCTCATTTAGTTACTACTTTCATGTGTTTTTGGTGTTCTTAACATACCATACTGCTTGGGGACTTCCTCATTTATAGAGAGAATGAGAACCAGCATCTATTATCATTTACACTGGTGTAATTCTGGTGTAGCTCCATTGATGGTCATGAGATTGTAGTACACCAATGTAAATGAGATAAGAATGTGTGTGTTTTTCAGACTGGCACAAGAAACAAGTATTTTTAAAGAGCAATATCCATGTATTCTTTTTTTCTCATAGTTTCAGTGTTTTCAAAAATCTAAATTTCAGACCTGCCGATTATGGTGAGTTTTAACTCCTTCACCTCATTACAGAGGATCTGTACAATGCCCTGCACATTTCATGAGAC